TAAGCGAAAAATTTTAGAAAAAAAAACCAAAAATGTCACACAAAGCCCAAATGTGCGGCGGTTTCTGTCATGTAAGACAATCAGGCGCAGGTCCCTTAAAAAACTAGTTTTTGTTAGTCCAAGCTGCACTTAACGTGGGCGATAGCTAGAAAATTTCAAACCTTTTATCCGAAGAAAAATAATGACTTGGTTGAGTTACGTGCTTGTCCACACATAGCTTCCTCAACCCAGGCTGACACTTTGCTCTACATCGCAAAAAACACAGGATTAGATATTCTAGCAGGGCTTACGACTGTAGTTGTTGACATATTCTCAAAAAGTCAGTCAGAGTCTGAGGACAGTGAAAAAAAGCACTTGCTTATCCACTCGTATCCTCAACCCAGACTGACACTCTACATCGCAAAAACACATAAAGATGTGATATGCGATAGGCTGAAGAAAGTGTTGTGAACTGTGATTACTACTCATAGATGTACAATAAAGTAAATCCTTGATGGATCGTAGATAAGCTAAGATTACACTGAGTTGCAGCTCATAAAATATCTACCATTTGCGCTTTTAAGGCTCATATTTCTTCAACCAAAAATCATATAAAAATCAAGAAGTAGAGAAAAGTATGTTTCTTTTCGAAAAAAATAGCACTTCAATTTATTTCCCTTGATGAAAAGTATAGGAACCTGGGCATCTGCGTGCAACTAACTTTTTTGAAGAGCTCTATCAACATTTGGGAATGCTTACGATTAAGCAGTCTTCGCAGCCATAATTTTACAGATTGTTATTCTAAAAAGTAAAAGGGCTGAAGAAGATTTACTCACTTGAAGTCCAAGCCAGTACATGCCACCGATTACGGATAAACCAGTTAGATAAGGATGAGAAAATCTGAAAGCAGCTTGAAAGTAAATTTAACCAAATCAATCCTAGACTCACTTGACTTCCTTGTAGAAGGCAGAATCTGCAAACATACGTGGTGCGAACGACATGAGTGCAAACACTATTGCAGATGAGAGTTCGCCTCGTACCTATGCAGAAAACATAATTTATCAATTCAAAACGAACCGTCCTCACGCGAAACTTACAAGCCATAGCTCGACCACCCCAAATACGCATACAATGAATGGTGGCATAATGGGAACTGCTGCGAAAAGAGCAGCTAGCACTGAAAAAATGTGATAAACGCAGTCTAACGCGACCTTAACAGAAGTCTCAGAAACTTACTGCTGGGTACAAATACCACATTGAGATCGAAAAGAGTATGAACGAAATACGTGTAGAGACCATAAAAGACAGCCATCTTTGCCGACAGAACAAAAACTCCTCTGCAGAAATTATTCAAACGTAATAATTCAGTTTGAAATGTTCAACTAACGAGATCGCCTGTTCGATGGCGCCGGTCACTTCATGTGGTGATATCTGAGTTGTAGGTCTGTT